CATTGTACACAAAATCAACTTTGTTCAAATCAAAACAAAAAAACTAACCCATCTGGTGGATGATGGCACAAGCTTCCAAGAAAATTCTATTACAGTGAACCACATTATTTAAATGGTTTTCTTCGCCAGTTAGTCGTCTGTCACTTCGTTTGTGCTAATAGTGTGATAGCTCTCGCTGTCAACTTGAGCCCAGCGGCGTGCGGACTTTGTAGAGGCACTCCGCTTATTCCATTTCGCACTCCAACACATGACAACATTTACATAGTTGAAGATGCTTAACAACAAATATCAGACTTAAAGCAACAATCAATTCGAAACTAACGGTTTTAAATTGGCTCACTACTTGACTAGCCTATTTTACTTACTTACTTAAGGGTCCTGTGCACCACCAGCGGTGCAAAGGGCCAACGTGAAAGACTTCCATCCTGGGCGGCTGCTCGCTTTTGCCTTGACCTGGGTCCAGATCAGATTTCTATCGACTTGCTTAATTTCCTTATTGAGGCTCCGCCGCCATGAGCCCCTGGGTCTGCCTCTGCTGCGATGTCCTGCCGGATTCCAATCCAGCGCTTGCTTGCAGATTTCGTTTCCGCCCCGTCGAAGTGTGTGGCCGACCCACCTCCACTTTCGCTCTCGAATTTCTGTTGCTATCGGTTTCTGATGACATCGACGATGGAGCTCGGCAGTCGAGATCCAGTTGTGAGGCCACCAGGCACGAATTATATACCGCAGGCATCGGTTGAGTGTTCTCCGCTGATACACACCACGTCTCGCTGGCGTATAACAACACAGATTTCACGTTCGAGTTGAAAATTCGGATTTTGGTGCGTTGACTTATCTGGTTGGATCTCCATACGTTTCGTAAACTCGCAAATGCAGCCCTAGCCTTCTTGATTCGTGCACCTATGTCGCTCTTGGTCCCGCCGTTCGACGCTATTTGGCTGCCAAGATATTGGAAACTTTCGACCTTCTCCACTGCTTGCCCCGCTACCGTAAAGTTGGAAGGGTTGCCCGTGTTGATATCCAACGATTTGGTCTTGTTGACGTTGATGGTGAGACCCGCCGCAGAGGAGCGTTCGGTTAGGTCATTGAGCTTACTCTGCATATCAGAGCGCCGTTGTGCTAGTAGAGCAACATCATCAGCCAAATCGAAGTCGTTGAGATGCTCCATGGTGATAGGCTGTCAAAGCAGCCCACGGTTCGGTACACGGTCAATTGCACCTACCATGATCTCGTCGATTACGATGAGAAACAGTAGCGGTGATAGTATACATCCTTGTCTCACACCAGCGACTACCCGGATAGGGTCGGACAAGGCTCCGTTATGCAGAACTCTGCACGTGAAAGCCTCATACTGCGCTTCGATGAGGTTGACGATTTTATCTGGAACTCCCTTGCGTCTCAGGGCGCCCCACAGATTCTCGTGATTGAGACGGTCGAAACCTTTTTCGTAGTCAATGAATACCAAATAAAGGGACTCTTGGAATTCATTGACCTGCTCCAGGATGATGCGGAGCGTGACAATATGGTCCACACAAGATCTTCCGGCACGGAATCCTGCCTGCTGCCGTCGGAGAGTCGCGTCGATCTTCTCCTGTATCCGATTCAGGATAACTTTGCACAGAACTTTGAGAACAATACACAGTAACATGATGCCTCGCCAATTGTCGCACACAGTCAGATCCCCCTTCTTTGGGACCTTCACTAAGATGCCCTGCATCCAGTCGGCCGGAAAAGTCGCGGTGTCCCAGATATTACAGAATAGTTGATGCAACATTTGTGCGGATAGCATGGGGTCAGCTTTGAGCATCTCTGCTGATATGCGATCGACCCCTGGAGCCTTGTTGGATTTCATGCTTCGGATAGCTGCTTCAATCTCCTGCAGTGATGGGGCCTCGGAATTGACGCGAGTGATGCGCCGCACCCTAGGCGGATCATGCCGAGATGTTGATGGCTGGTTAGCCGTCGAAACTTGAAGAAGTCGTTTGAAGTGCTCAAACCAGCGTTTCAGCTGGTCAGTGGGATCGGTAAGCAATTGTCCAGTCGTGTCCTTCACTGGCATCCTCGGTTTCATCCTTGCTCCACTCAGGCGTCGTGAGATATCGTAGAGGAGGCGTATATCGCCAGTGTTTGCGGCTTTCTCCCCTTCGTCGGCCAGGGAGTTCACCCACGCTCGCTTGTCCCGTCTGCAAGAGCGCTTGACTTCCTTCTCTAGAGCCGAGTACCGTTGACAGGCTTCGTTCTTGGCTCCTCTGGTTCTCGCCCGCTCTATCGCGGCTTTTGCTTCTCTACGCTCCTCAATCTTCCGCCAGGTTTCATCTGTGATCCACTCTTTCCTCTGGGTGCGCAGCTCACCCAAGTTGTTTCTATAAAGGCATTCTTGATGGCCGTCCATTGTTCTTCTACGCTGCCACCTTTTGGAACGTCCGCAGCTCGAGTCTCAAGCTCTTCAACAAAAGACCTTTTTACCGCTGGATCTTCAAGTCGGCGTGTGTTGAACCGCTGCCCGAGTCTCTCCTCCCGTCGCTGGATCCGCGCCATGCGTAGGCGGATTTCACCGATTAGAAGGTGGTGGTCAGACGCGATGTCGGCGCTGCGTTTATTCCGGACATCAAGAAGGCTCCGTCTCCATTTTCGGCTGATGCAGGTGTGGTCGATCTGATTTTCGGTACGTCCATCACGGGAAACCCACGTGACTTTGTGCACTGGCCGATGGGGGAAGAGCGAGCCCCCGATCACCATGTCGTTATTGCCACAAAATTCTGCAAACAGCTCACCGTTCTCGCTCATTTCGCCGAGACCATGGCGTCCCATGACACGCTCATAGTCCGTGTTGTCGGAGCCGATCTTCGCATTGAAGTCGCCAGTGTAGATCTTGATGTCACCCTTTGGAACCTTATCCACGACCGCATTCAGTTGACTGTAAAAATTCTCCTTGTCCTGTAGCTCGGCAGCATCGGTTGGCGCATAACATTGGATTATGGTAAGGTTACGAACCCGTGTTCTAAATCTAGCAACGATTATCCTCTCATTAACAGGCTCCCACTTGATGAGCGCAGCACTTGCCTGGACGCTAAGTAGGAGACCAACTCCACGATGGCGGGGAGCGTTTTCACCTCGAATACCAGAGTATAGTAGTACCTGTCCCGACGGCAGTTTGTGCTCTCCAAAGTTTGGCCAACGAACTTCACTCAGTCCCAGAATTTCTAGCTTCATGCGTCGCGCCTCGTTGGCGAGTTGTGCCAGTTTACCCTGCTGGGCTAACGTCAATACATTCCATGATCCAATTCGTATCCTTTGTTTTGCGCTAAAATTCGTTGCCGTTATATCAGTTCGATGTCTTTCTCTGTTGGTTTCTGTAACAATTGTAAAGGTTTCAGAGACAGTAGGTGGTTGGCCTAAGGTCTCCTATCCGCCGTGATGGGGCTGCCATCTTAGGTGTAGCTTCCGGGGAAGAGCATTTTTTATTCAGCCGCTGGATGCCAGTCAGACGCTGTTTGAGCCGCACCTCCATGGTGAACAGACGCTCGGGTTGGCGAAGCATTTCCTCTATCACCGTGCTATGGTTACCACGCCAGTGTTCGCGTCGCACCTCCTCACTCTGCTATTGTCGGATTGACAACATTGCCCAGGCTACGCCAACTAGCTGTGTCCATGTTTCAGCTGGCAGTCTTTTGTGATCATATGACTCGTGGAGGCGTGAGGTAGGAACTTGGGAGGACCGGAGCTAGGTATATCGCTCCTTCCAGATTGTCACTCACCATTTTGTAGCCCTGACTAGCCTATTGGTCCCTAGCAAATCGATTAACGTACCCCATTCTAGTATAAATTCCAGTACTACACTATGTTTGTTTTGATTCGTTATGAAAGTTTGACAGATAAAATGAGGGGTTCGTGGATTTTCTAATGTTTCGAGGGGTGCATCGATTAGCTTGGGACCGAAGATAGTACCAGAGCTGAGCCAAAAAGTTGAGCTCGCTTCTTCGGGACCTTCTGGTCTTAGATTTACCTCTATGCTTAAAGTGTTAATTCTATACGATGGATGAGGAGATTTTTTTTTCCTTGATTTGTTTTCCGTCGATCTTGTTTTCCCGGCTGAACACCAATGCTACCGACGCCAGGAAGGCAGCTCCCACACCAGGACCCTACCTACCGACCCATCAACTCATGAATCGGGGACCAACGGCTTTACTTCCCCTTTCGAAGGAAAGCGTGATCAGAGATGTTATGCCTCAGAACATCCCGGTGGCACCGACTGGGATTGAGCCCATGCCTGCTGAGATGAGAGGTTATCACGCTTACCACTACACCACAGGCGCCACTAATAGTTTTGATTTATAGGAATGCTTTCTTCCTCTTCTTCTTCGTGAGCTGTTCTTTCGAGTTTTACTGGTTTCGGTAATTTTTCAATTTCAATGTATTACATTTTTAGAAATGTATCAAATGAACAATCATTACATATTAGCGATGATCCATTCGGCGAAATGACGCACATAAAATTTAGAATCCTCGGTGAGGAAATATTTAGAACCCTAGAAATAATTGCCCCATCTACCCTGGCGGTTGATTCAATCGATAAGAAAAGGACCGTCAGCAATGACGCAGCGTACCCTCACTACGACGCTAATGTCACCTAGCTGATTAGCTAATTTTAGTTTTATACTGCAAATTCCATCTCCTTCTGCTTCTGTTTTTCTCTTAGTCCCAACTGGAACTGACCTAACCAATAAAATGTTGATTTGACCAACTCTAGACACATCCCGCAATCTCATAGTCTACTAACTGCCTAATCACAAAAATCTCCTGAATAATTCCATACAATTGCAATACCGCCGACGCCGGCACCATGCGCCGCGCACATCACCTCATTACAGAAACTGAGATTCTGTTTACTAACAAACACTCAATTTGCAAATGATTACAATCCCGGGATCTTCTTCCGGCTTGCTTGCCTCAGCAGTTTTCTAATCTCCCATTTCGCTTGGTGTCTATTTTTTTTGCAGGATGGCGGTGAAGGCCACGTCGGGACGGTGCGCAATTTCGAATCCCAAGAGGAGGTGGTCGTTGTCTGGGACAACGGCACTGCCGCCAACTATCGATGCGCGGGCGCATACGATCTCCGCATTCTGGACAGTGCCCCGACCGGTATCAAGCATGAGGGCACCATGTGCGACACCTGCCGCCAGACGCCGATCTTCGGCATACGCTGGAAGTGTGCCGAGTGTAATAACTACGATCTGTGCTCGATTTGCTATCATGGCGATAAGCATCATCTGAGGCATCGGTTTCATCGGATCTCGACGCCCGGGGGTGAGAAAACGCTGCTAGAGCCACGGCGCAAAACAAAGAAGATTGCTGTGCGAGGGATTTTTCCGGGGGCTCGGGTTGTGCGGGGGGTTGATTGGCAGTGGGAGGATCAAGACGGGGGGAATGGTCGACGTGGAAAGGTCAACGAGATACAGGATTGGTCATCGGCCTCGCCACGTTCTGCCGCCTATGTAGTGTGGGATAATGGAGCGAAGAATTTGTACAGGGTTGGGTTTGAAGGGATGGCCGACTTGAAGGTGGTGAATGATTCCAAGGGCAATAATGTGTATCGAGATCATCTGCCATTGCTGGGCGAGTTTGGACCGGGTCGAGGGCCGCACAGCTTCCAGATCGGAGACCAGGTGACGGTGGATTTGGATATCGAGATTGTGCAATCGTTGCAGCACGGTCATGGTGGCTGGACCGATGGGATGTACGAATGTTTGAACACTACAGGAACGGTGGTCGGTATCGATGAGGATCACGATATTGTGGTGGCGTACCCGAGCTCGCACCGGTGGACATTCAATCCGACCGTGCTGACGATCGTTTCGTCTCCAGCTTCGATGCTAACTGAGAATCAATCGCAACAGTTTGCGGTGGGCGATTTTGTGAAGATTTGCAGCGACCTGGAGAGGATTAAGATACTGCAGCGTGGTCATGGAGAATGGGCTGAAGCTATGGTTCCAACGCTGGGCAAGGTTGGAAGGGTACAGCAGGTGTACCACGATAACGATCTGAAGGTAGAGGTGTGCAACACCTCGTGGACGTACAATCCGTTGGCGGTTACAAAAGTGGTGAGCTGGGTTTGGTTTACTTGAAGGGTATTTGAATAACGAATTTTGTATTGCAGGCTTCCTCATCGGATGGTTCAACGGCAGTCACCACCAACGGAGAGCGATTGTCGGCTATTTTGAAGAAACTATTCGAACCACATGCATCGGGAGATACTACCGAAGAGTTGGTGAAGGCCGCTGCCAACGGAGATGTCGCTAAAGTTGAGGAATTCCTGTCCGGATCCACCGCACAAAACGTCGCTTCTTCGTCCTCCAGTTCGCAGGATTCTTCTCAAGTGATCAAAGTCGACGTCAATGGAGTATTTGCTGGTCACACCGCTTTGCAAGCGGCCAGTCAAAATGGTCACCTAGAAGTGATCCAAGTTCTACTACGATACAGTGCAGACGTTGAGATTGAGGATAAAGATGGTGATCGTGCCGTTCATCATGCTGCGTTTGGAGACGAGCCCGGAGTTATGGGATTGCTGGCTAAGGCCGGAGCCGATCTAAACGCCAGAAACAAGCGACGACAGACGGCACTTCATATTGCAGTCAACAAGGGGCACTTCAACGTCGTTAAAACCCTGCTGGAACTTAGCTGCCATCCAAGTTTGCAGGATTCCGAAGGCGACACCCCACTCCATGATGCTATTTCGAAGGAACATGACAATATGCTTTCACTGCTGCTGGATTACGGTGCGGATATCACCTTAACCAACAACAACGGGTTCAATGCTTTGCACCACGCTGCACTAAAAGGCAATCCGAGCGCCATGAAGATTCTACTGACGAAAACCAACCGCTTGTGGATCGTGGAAGAGAAGAAGGAAGATGGCTACACCGCGTTACACCTGGCTGCTCTGAACAATCACGTTGAAATTGCTGAACTACTGGTCAAGATGGGCAAAGCGAACATGGACTGTCAGAATGTCAACCTGCAAACGGCACTGCACCTGGCGGTGGAACGTCAGCATGTCCAGATCGTCAAACTGCTGGTCCGTGAAGGGGCTAACCTGAACATTCCCGACAAGGACGGTGATACGCCCCTTCACGAAGCCTTGAGACATCACACTTTGTCCCAGCTGCGGCAACTTCAGGACGTCGAAGGATTCGGAAAGATTCTGATGGGACTAAGGAATGTAAGTGGATTATTTCCCTCCAGAATTCCCTGTACTAATCGTGCTCCCTCGTCTTTTCAGAACACCGACAAGAAAGCCTCCGCTTCGATCGCCTGCTTCCTAGCGGCCAACGGTGCCGATCTGACCATCAAGAATCGCAAGCTCCAAACACCGCTGGACCTATGTCCGGATCCAAACCTCTGCAAGACCCTCATCAAATGCTACAACGAACGTAAGACAGACGATATGGACATGACTGCCGCAGGTGGCACCGCTTTGCCGGCATCCAATATGTTGCGCAACGGTACACCGAGCGCAGGAGCAGCAACCGCGCCTAGCGCTTCTGCTCTAGTGCCAGGTTCCACTCCAGGCATCTCACCCGTGGCAGTGGTAGATGCCAACCTGCTGAATGATCTTAACAAAATGTCCATCCAGCCGACTGTCGGTGGCCAGAATAGCGTAGCTGGTACTAATGGAAGTCCACTGGACGAGTGCCTGCTCTGTTCGGATCAGAAACGAGACACCATATTCAAACCGTGTGGACACGTCGTGTGTTGCGACAATTGTGGTCCTCGAATCAAAAAGTGTTTGATCTGTCGGGAAGCTGTTACGGAGCGGGAAAAGATTGGCGAGTGTTTGGTTTGTTCCGACAGGAAGGCTTCGGTATTCTTCAAACCTTGCGGTCACATGGTTGCATGCGATAATTGCGCCCAAATCATGAAGAAGTGCGTCCAATGTAGGGTTCAGCTAGAACAGAAGGTTCCGCTGTCGGTGTGCAGCGGTGGACCAGGAAACGTTGTCACGGTTCAGTACCAGCGCGACGAAAAGAAGGAAGGCAATCAGACCGTTCTGCAGGGTATCAACAAGAGTGGTCATGGCGTGGCCATGAACAACACCATGTCGCCGAACGTTAGCGGAGTGAGCGGCACCCCGACGTCACTGACCACCATGAACAACATCGGCGTAGGAAACGTTGCTCCAAGCAATCTGAACCTGGCCGATGACGTCCAGAAACTTCAGCAGCAACTGCAGGACATCAAGGAACAGGTTCGTAACAACTTTCTTTTTTGGGACATTTCGATCATTGATTATTTTTAAATTTTAATCATTGTTGCAGACAATGTGCCCGGTCTGTTTCGATCGCATCAAAAACATGGTGTTCCTGTGTGGCCATGGAACGTGCCAGATGTGCGGAGACCAAATCGAGGGATGCCCGATCTGTCGCAAAACGGTGGAGAAGCGGATTTTACTGTTTTAAAACTAAAATAATCGCACAACATTCTGCGCTTGAACAAGTAACATCCATCCGCCCCCGCGGAATCTACTTGGTAAAAACATTCTACGAAAATCAAAATACCGTCGCTGTGTTTACGCGTATCGTATAATAGGTTTTTAAAATGTGTCAATTCTCAATCAAAACTAGTTTTCTTCAGTTGTTTATGGTTAATCGTTGAGAATGCTTTCTTATTGCCTACTCCGTGGTTAATAAGAAAGGTCAAGTTTACGTTTTAACGATTTTTTTTTAATTTTCGCGCACAGAATAGTGTTTGACCTACATTTTATTTTGAATTAGTTGCAGTATGCAAGTAGTGCTCGAAACACGTTTTCCGTCTTCTTATTGGAGTTGGTTAGCTCCAACTACAACACATTTCAACGTTGAACCGAAACAATCTATGAAGTTGCATTACGCAAAAAAATACAATTGTGGATAAACCTAGTTGGATAATTATACAAAATTGATCTAGTTACACAAATATATTTGCAAGGAGATTCATAGTGTCCCAGTATAATAATAACAGAAAACTGTCCAACAGAAAGAAGGGCAACTCAATCGCTATGTGCAACATCTAATTACTGCAAATCTGATGGTTATAAATATCTTATTTCGAAATAAAGTCGATTATGAATATCAATATCAATTGATGTGTCGGGTTTATTGCTAAGATAGAATATGGAAGAAAACATCATTCAAAGTTGTTGCGTTGGTCTGCAACGTGTAAGAGCCGGTTTATATGGAATTGAGCTTTTCACGTTCGGTTGTATTGGTGCGATATGTGAGAGCGTGTTAGCATAGAGGTAACTCTAATTGACAAATCCAAGTTTATGCCGGTCACCGCGGTGCTGTAATCGTAGCGGTGATGAACTTGAGATCATCTGTCAAACTGCATATATTTTCAAGTTTGTGATAAGAAAACTGTGTTTTACGTGTTATTGTAATTGCTTTATTCAATAACAGAAAGCAAATATGAACAGAAAAGTAGCGCCGGTAAGAATGGTAAGTAAATCCTAATTTTTAAATGCAAACTTATTGAGATTTCTTCAAAATGAAAAATATGTTGCTCTCAGCAAAACATCAACAAATAATGTTAACAATATTTTTACAGTATTCAAACTGAGAATGCAATCCTGCAGGATCATCCCATCGGAGATTGAATTAAATCAACTAGTTTTGCTGTTTGAGGTGAGTTGTTAGAACAATTTTACATATTGAAGCAATCAAAACAATATATTGTTCCATCCGCAGGAACATCATCTTTCCTATAGCTGAAGGAATATAGCCGAACGGAAACCCTTTCTTCTCTGGCATAAATATAATCTCTCTGGTAAGTATAATTAGATATTAAAGTGCTAAATTATTGAAATAGCATTGAAAAAAAAAATCGTAGAACAAACATGATAAAACCAACTAAATCCCTGCATGCTTCGACCGATGGTTGCAAATCGTATCCGAATACAATCCTACCGTATTAAACCAACAACCAGCATCGGGTGCCTGCATTGGAATACATTTTACAAAGGGGCTCTTCTATTTTTATTTAATTTGGTTAGTCACGCCCTAATAAAAAATTACCATAAACGAACGATAACCCAAATCATTGAACTATTCAACAAATGGTTTGTATGATACCTTGAACACGTCGTTAAACAAATTAACCATAAAATTTTATTTAGGGTGTCTCCATATCAACATTAATCGATGTGGTATGGCTGTTAACTTAACCATGTCCATAACCTCATCATGTTTTTTTTCAATTTCATTTGAAAACTACTAATTTTTATTTTGGGATCGACACATATCACAATAGTTTTTTTAGGTTTTGAACAAGATTCATTCATTTTAATAGCATATTTACACGAACTAGCACTGTAATTTAACAAATTTTAATAAAAATAATGAAATTTCCAAGGGCTGTCACTAGCAGATCACCGTCGGATAGTGCTTATTCCTGTCACCAGGCGCGCATTAGTTTAAGTTGGATTCGTCAATTGACAAATCCATGTTTCAATCGACTACCGTAACGCTGCAATCGCAGCGGTGATAAGTCCGAAATAATGTGTCAAACTGAATACATTTTTGAAATTTCCACCAAAAACCTATTATTTTCTATTCATTCTAGCGAGTTTCTGTGGAAGTCAAAACATGATCCGAGCAAAAAAGTAGTACTCGTAATAATGGTATATAATGCTGAATTTTATCGTGCTTTGTTTCGAAAATATCTTCCAAATAAACAAACATCATCCAAATCACCCGATGCATTACCACTTAAAAATTAATTTCAGTCGGTGTATTAATCAGCACATTAAATCGTTTTTCGTCTGGTGCTACACCGAGCAATCGGCCTATTTAATAGTTTTTCGTCGATTGATTTAGTCGGCCAACTTTGTCTGCTGTTTAATCTTTAGATGATTTCAAACCTTAACATGTTTTCAGTGATTTATAAGTCTTGAAGTAGCTTTTTATTTAAGAACAATGCATTACAAAATAGTTTTATGCATTTTGTACAAGATTCATCCATGCTGACAACAAATTTTCATGAAATTACATTGAAATTAAATAATTTGGCAAACAATCAAAGGAATTTTCAAGGGCTGTCACAGACTTATCACCGTCGGTTAGTGCTTATTCCTGCCACCAGGCGCGCAGGATTTTAAGTTGGATTTGTCAATTGAGAAATCCAACTTAAACTCCTCCGCGCCTGGTGGCAGGAATAAGCACTAATCGACGGTGATAAGTCTGTGACAGCCCTTGACAATTTCATTGATTGTTTGCAAAATTGATTAATTTCAATTTAATTTCAAGCAAATTTCTTGTTAGAATGGATTAATCTTGTACAAAATGCATAAAACTATTTTGTAATGCATTGTTCCTAAATAAAAAACTACTTCAAGACTTATAAATTTCAGAAAATATGTTAAGGTTTGAAATCATCTGCCGATTAAACAGAAGACGAAGTCAGCCGACTAAATCCATCGACGAAAATCTATTAAATAGGCCGATTGCTCGGTGTATCACCAGACGAAAAACGATTAAATCTGCTGATTAATACACCAACTGATATTAATTACAAGTGACAATAGATTTCAAGCATAACTTTTCAAAAGGACGTAAGTCGCAAAAATAAACAAATCGATATTTTGCATCTAAACGAATATAAAATACATGCTTTTCCTACGAGTTGATGAAAAACAAGGTTTGAAATTGTAATGCATTATGAAAGACATATTTAATGAACGCCCTATGTGACCTGCTTTCATTGTTTTTAAAATGGTGTTGATACACCCTTTTATTGTCAACATGACTTAACTGTTAAAATTTGATGATAACACCAAAACTGCAGATACGCTCACAGTGAAGCGTCGTATGTGAAAAAAACAAAGCAACCACTATCAATCAGCAGATGCGTCAAGTTATTTCTAAGTAGATACAAAATGGATTTCAACGGGATTCAGCTACTGCGGTATGTTTTATTAAATATTCTTGACTAAAACATAAATATTATAACATTTTTTTAGATGTAGCCACTCAGCTTGATGAGTCAGAACAGTTTTCATCTGCACATATTCCCAGCATGGGATATTTCGAGGAAGTGGAAACAGTTCCACAAGAAGGATTGCCTCCAGACCTAGATCTAAACGTTCACGATGATGCTTCTCCTCGTCAGAATAATAACAACGCTTTACGACAATCGGTTGATGATATCCGAGCCGCTTTACATCCGGTTACGATGAAGTCTTTGTTTGAATCCTGCAAAAAAACGCTGTGATATGTTTGTTTTTTGTATTTCCAGGAGCAACACGTTTATTATTTCAAAAGTATTCTAATAAAATTGCACTTTAATCTTGACTTTATTATTGAACTTCACATACCATTATGACCAGGGCTTTCCTTATACGAAAAACACAAATCTGACAGCAGATAATGCGATGACCCTCTCATCTCCGCTTTTAACATCAATTAATTCACAACTCTGGCTAGTTATGTAAATAAACCAACCATCCGACAATTCCTCAATGTTTTTCGAGCTGCCGACGTATCTTCACTGCAAAGCAAAAACCGGTGTATCTGATTTGACGTATGTGAAAACCCTTCTGTCAAATTGACGAATCATGCAGGGTGTATGTAACAATCAGGGTGTGATACCGACGAATCAATCAGGGTGTATGTGAGTAGTACACAAGTAAAAGGTGTATGATTTTGTTTTATCAAAAGTCTTGTCCGTGTTTGCAAAACTCAACATTTTTCACAATTCTCTTAAACGCAATCCCTTTATCCAACTAATAGCACAAACAGATTTAAAAAAATAGCATTAAATTTTAAATAGCATTTAATAATCTCATATAGACATTGCTATCCAATGTTTCTAATTTCATATCAAATGTTACATACGTCCTTTTGAAAAGTTATGCTTGATTTAGTCGGTTGACGAATCGGGTGATTTGGATGATGTTTGTTTATTTTGAAGATATTTTCGAAACAAAGCACTTTAAAATTCAGCATTTCATACCATTATTAAGAGCACTACTTTTTTGCTCGTATCATGTTTTGACTTCCACAGAAACTCGCTAGAATAAATAAAAAATAATAGTTTTCGGTCGCTATTTCAAAAATGTATTCTATTTGACACATTATTTCAGAGTTATCACCGCTGCGATTGCAGCGCCCCAGTGGCCGATTCAAACTTGGATTTGTCAATAGCGAATTCGTTTATTATCGGGGTTGGAACCAGTTCCAACCCAGTGCGAAACCGAACTTTTTGTCAGTGCAAACCTCAACCTGAGCTAGGTTTTAAAAACAAACGAGCAAACTGACGTTTGTCAAAAAACAAGCAGACCTAATCTTGATACCCGATCCAGGTTGGAACTGAATAATAAACGAATTCGCTATAAGACTAGTAGCACAAACGAAGTGACAGACGACTAACTGGCGAAGAAATCAATTAAAATAATGTGGTTCGCTGTAATAGAATTTTCTTAGAAGCTTGTGCCATCATCCACCAGATGGGATAGTATTTTTGTTTTGGTTTTGCACAAAGTTGATTTTGTGTACAATGATTCTTCGACAGTGTACAAAGAGTGTATCATTTTATCATTTTTTTTATGCATTTCAGTTTTGTAGAGTGAAAGATATAGAATCAAAACATTCTAGTACATTTGGTGAAAATTCTAGTTCAATCCAGTAGTAGCGTAGTAGTGTTGCCATGTGGTACAATCATAGAGGTAACTCTAAGACTAGTAGCAACAATCAATACGAAACTAACGATTTTAAATTGGCTCACTACTTGACTAGCCTATTGGTCCCAAGCAAACGATTAACGACCCCATTCTAGTCGAAATTCTAGTACTACACAATGTTTGTTTTGATTCGCTATGAAAGTTTGACAGATAAAATGAGGGGTTAGTGGATTTTCCTATGTTTCGAGGGGTGCATCGATTAGCTTGGGACCGAAGAGAGTACCAGAGCTGAGCCAAGAAGTTGAGCACATTTCTTCGGGACCTTCTGGTCTTAGAGTTACCTCTATGCTGGTAGGCCCCGAAGAAACATGCTCAACTTTTTGGCTCAGCTCTGGTACTATCTTCGGTCCCAAGCTAATCGATTCACCCCTCGAAACATAGGAAAATCCACTAACCCCTCATTTCATCTGTCAAACATTCATATCTCTTCGGATACGTAAGGGCTCGACATTGATCAATTGGCAGCGATTCTCGTAGCTTGGAAGACGAAGTGGGTATCTCCAAGGCAGCTTACGGAGCGCGAAGCGAAGAAAACGTCGTTGAACAGATTCAATTCGCTCGGCCCCATTATTGTAGTTCGGGCTCCAGACTACAGAGCAGTATTCCAACGTAGATCGTACGAGAGAGCAATAGAGCGATTTCAAGCAGTAAATGTCCGTGAAGTTCTTAGTAATCTTGAAGACAAAGCCAAGCGTTTAGATGCTAGATAAAAGCTTCTTTTATCGATCTGTGGGCTGAAAATACCTGGGATTGTCTTTACATGGCCGTGGGGATGCAAAGAGAAGTCAGTTGAATTCAAATGACTTGAACGCGAATTGAACGTAACGTGTAAACCATGCCATTCAACTGACTTGATCAACTCACATGAATTGAAAAAAGTTGAACCAGGCTCAACTTTTCAAGCCAATTGAATTCAACTGAGTTGATCATTTGACTTGTCTAGTCTAAACCCAGCTTTACTCAAAATAACTCTGATTTGCTCTGATCTGCATCGGAAAAATAAAGAACAAGGCAAATCTCACGTAACATGTGAAAGGAGCCTATAATCAAAATGTAAACAAATCGGTTCATGATACCTTTCTATAGCACCGCTTAATAGCATAACCAGTAAAAATCATTATAAATAACTCGATTTTCAAAACGGCCGATCAAAGAAATTTTACAAATCAATTATTGGCCCGAATGCTAAAACAGCCAACCATGTATTATTTGGGTGTTGTGTGCTGAGATACAGATATTATTGTCATACTGAACTATGGAAAAGCTGACCGAAAAACTTACACTGATAAATTTAACTATTCCCATTTTGCTTGAAATTTAATTAATTTGTCATTAAACTCAGTTTAATCATATCGAATGATTAAAAATAAATACTCTCTTTCTAAAAATAAGCATATCATATTAATCCCAGTTTAATCATGGTTGATTAGATTGCAGATTATCTTTTTTTTTTTAATAAATTTTAATCATTTTTGATATTATTTTAATAATTTTTGATTGAATTTTAACCTTTTTTGATTATATATTAGTATTTAAGAAGAATAAAATTTAATACTGGAAAGATTATTTCGATTTTAATCATGCATGACTACTGCCGAAGTAATCATGGCTCGGACTCAATAAGGTGAAGCGAGAATCTGCATACTTTTTAAGCTTTTTTGATTTAATTTATCTTTGAGTGTAGATTTTCTTATAAAGGAATAGAAAAAGGCAGATTATTTACAATCCATTGTCTGGTTTGTTTATATTTTGGTTGTTGGCCCATTTAAAAAGTTACGCGAGATAGGAACTAAAATGATTAAAAAGGCCGAGAAAAGGCAGAGATTATTTACAATCCACTTTCTGGTTTGTTTACATTTTAAATAGTTATAGGCCCTTTTCAAATGTGAACTGCTCAGGGTTTAATCGAAACTGCCGTAAAAATCTGACATTTTCAGGGATCCATCTGAGTTTCGGACCATTCTGGAAATTCTTGTCGAATATATCGACAGTGAGCATGCATAAGGGCCTATACGCGATGATCGATTCTCTTCGTCGATTTTCTCTTTTGTTAATAACTCGCTAGATTTAACGTTTCTCGGTGCGTTTGCTGTTGCTTTTGATAGCTAATACAACCTGTTACAACTCTGCATTGAACAAATTCTAGAAAATTGTTTCGCTTAGCTGTAGCAATGCAAAGAGAAAATCGATGAAGAGAATCGATCATCGCGTATTCGCCCTTATGCATGCTCACTGTCGATATTTATATCAGTTTTTATGTATCATCTGAAAAAGCTTCGTTTTCTAAGCACAGCGATATTTTTTCGAATCCACACATTTTCATCTCGATTTTTAAATCAAGATTTAAAGCAAAATAATAACATCACTGTTTGACACTAAACTGACAAACTGACAGCTTGCTCCCATACAAAGTGACACAGGGCGGCGTTAATAAGGTGATTTTAGCAAATGTAATCGTACTTATTTAAAATAGTTCCAGTGTACCAAACTGGATGAAGTTTTGGGTTTGGGTTCCATTTTAAATGCAAATTACGAATATGCATTTATGTACCTCAATACCCTTAAAGAACCCAATTGTAATCAGCTCTTGGAAGTTAACGATGCTTTGAAGATGCAGAGCAACATCTCCAACTTCTTGCTGCATTCAATGCCAAACTATATTCTTGATGGTAGCCGGCGCCGGTGGTGTAGTGGTAAGCGTGACTGCTTTCCAACACCCCAATGGGTCTGGGTTCAATCCCAGCCGAGGTCGGTAGGATTTTTCTGAGGCATAAAAATCTCTGGTCACGTCTTCCTTCGGAAGGGAAGTAAAGCCGTTGGTCCCGGCCCATGTGTGTTGAATGGGTGCCACCGACAAACCGACATGAAACTTAAACTTAACTCTTGATCGAGAATCCATAACGGCCGATTCAAATGTGCAGCGATCCCATCTGTTGAAACCATAGAAATGTTTTATCTAGATAAAAATAATTTGTCCGAAATAGATTAGACACGAACCAACTCATACATTTTGTACGTGTGTTCGTGGCTAGGATAAATATTTTCCGTGAACACGGCGGCAGATGTCAGTTTTGTGCTTTGACCAGAAATTTCTTTGTAATTTGTATGATCATTCATGTCGGTTTGTCGGTGTGGGTGCGATATCCTAGGCAGGTGTGGAAGCTGCCTTCCTGCACATTCGATTGCCGTCAATGGATGGCAATCGATGTCCGTCGGTGTTTGGCACTAGATTGCGGAACAGAGACCCACGTTAAAGAAAAGAAGATATTCTTGATGGAAATGTTTATAAGTCTCAGTAATTTTTCAAAAAACCTAGATTATACTAAAAACTTACTGTTCGCTTTCCGGCTTGCTTGGAGCAGCAACCTGAGTGTGACTCCGGTGATGAGGAAACATTATTCTGCATCTCGATGTTTGATGCGTATTTTAGTATTCAAGGCAGTTTAAATCAACAACAGTGAAATGTAAGTCTTCTGCTGCTATTCATAACTTTCAAAACAAACGATGTTAAATATCTAGTTGAAGATTTAAAAAAGTTTTAAACGAACCTTAAACTCGAATTATTGTAAAAAATAAATAAGACCTTTTGAAAAAATCCACTAGAAATGAGTAAAAGATTTGCTCAGAGAGCAAGAGAGTTTATCAGAGTAACTCTAGATTGCTCAAAATGTTTCACTCACCCTCCGCCCTCGCCAGAAACATACCTTAATCCATTTGGCATTCTCCTTCCGGAACACGTACTGTGTTCCGCTGCCTTACAATCAGTTTTCTATGCCATTGTGTACGCTTTCTTGGCAGAGTTCGAAGGGATTCCTAGACTATTTTGTTCAATTTTTCGCGCACTGACAAATGTCTCAACAAGAAAAAGCCAATTTTCAAAAACAGATGCCTGTCAAACACAAAGCAGTTATCCACTGAATGGATTCTGCGCCGTTATTCTAACTTAGCATAATTTTGAAGCTGAATTTTAATATTATCAATGTATAAATATTACATAACCAGAAAATGATTAAATTTTAATCTATTGCTGTTTAATAATATTTTTGAGTGTATAACAACACTCACTTTGTTTACAATAATTCTCAGTTTCGCCCTTTTGAAATGCTGGTACTGATATGTTAGGACATCATGAAATCTCGCGTCACTTTTCAAATAGACCAATGTAACATATCCACCATTTTGAGAAAATCGAAGTTGAAGTTCGACAGATTATTATTTTAACTGTTTAAAAACAATACATTTTGCAATACTATTTTTAATGTAGTCAGTGTATAATAACGTTGAAAATTCAGAAGAAACGTTAAAATCACAATTTTACTTTGAATTTCATGCTACAACATAGAAAAAACCACATAGGACGTTTTGACAAGTCGAGTTGTACATCGGACATGTTACATTGGACGATTTTTCTCACTGACATAATCAATCAGTGTTACATTGGACGTTTTGTCTACATGATACTAGATTCCCTTTCACAGATTTCAGAGTATAGTACCTAACTTTAGATTGGCCCCGCCTTTGGAAAATGAGCACCAATCATATTAGGCAGTCCGAATGACCGAAGTAACAATCATGTACCCATCATTTCAAACTGTACATTGGACAATTTTTGATCAATGATTATTTTAAATAAATGAAAGTAAATTAGGATGGATGTTTTTGTATCACATACAATGATAGAAGAGCAATAGTTTGTATCGCTTAACTCGATTTGTTTACATTTGTTACATTGGTCTATTTGAAAAGTGACGCGAGAAATGTTCGGCTTGCGTGATTGTTTGCTCCCTTCAGAAACACCCATTTACCAGCAAGATGTTTTGACAGACGTGATTTTAGACCACTCTTCTGCACCTTAAATTTGTAAACAAAACCACGAGATTGGTGCTGGTTTTCACCGGTCGTCGAAAACTTTTCCGATATTTCGTGAAAAATAGACCCATTTTGTGCGAAAAATGCTCCAACTAGTTCGTTCCGGCTTCCATCGGTAAGTTCATTTGTTTCCCATCTTGTTGCAGACGTTTTTTGCATTCAAAATCACTACTTTGTTCCAGATTACATAAGAACTCGAGCATTCGACTGATTGTCAACAGTGGCTTTTGCTCGGATTCCGGTCAGAAGGGTGACGATGGAGACAAAAAGAAACCCCCAAAGCAAGAGGGCCAATCCCAGAAGCCGGATGTCAAATCAAGTGCTGCTCTGAATCGACTGAACGAGCTACTCTCGATGATGACCACCGAAAGCGAAGTGCAGCTGGTCAAAAAAATTCAACTGGCTAAACCCACCGGACAGAGAAGAGACAAGGGAAAGAAGAAAAAGGAAGATGAGAAAAAGCAAGATTCCGATTCGGATTCAGATTCGGACGACGAAAAACCAAAAGATTTAGTAAAAGCTACACAGAAGGTGGCGCAATCGCTTGGTGGGGATGCCAAGAAGACGGAAGCTGAGCTGTTGGCAAAACTGCTGGGAGGAGATACCAGTGTTGAAGGAGAATCATCGGGTGCTAGTCTGAGCGACATTATCACGGGGATGCAAGTGGATAAGGAAGGAACCAAGAAGGGTAGCAGTGTGCAGTTAACCAGGAGTAAGGTTGTACGGAAGGCCATCGAGAGGAAAGGATCTAGAGGAGGACAAGGTAAAAGTGTTTTTTTTTTTAATAGTTAGGAAAATTGACTGAGAGTTTCGCATTTTCAGAATATTTCGGAATGTCTCGAGAAAGGAAGCGACCGCTGGAAGCCGTTCAACCGACTGGAGCTAGCGTGAAATTGTTCGAAGAGGAACCGTTGAACATTTTCAAGGACCCAGCTGCACTCATCGAGAGTCCGGATGTTTTACAAACCTGGAAGAAACTTCAGGACCGTGAGTTGCGGTTAGCTGTAACGCATCCTCCGGCGAATTACTTCCAAAAGATGGCCTTGTGGACGGAGCAGGGAAAACTGTGGAAGTTCCCCATTGATAACGAACAAGGCTTGACCGAAGAAGCGATGGTGTCCTTTACGGAACATATTTTCCTCGAGGATCACCTGGAACCGTGGTGCCCGAAGCGAGGTCCCATACGACATTTCATGGAACTGGTCTGTGTTGGGTTGTCCAAGAATTACTTTATCACTGCCCAGGAGAAGAAGGAACACATCCTCTGGTTCAGGGATTATTTCGACCAGAAAAAGGAGCTGCTGAGTCAGGTTATTGTTCAGCAGCAGGAGACGACTGGCGGAAAGAAGCTTGAAAAGTAGGACATTAAGAAATTTAAAAGTAGTTTAATAAAATGTCGTAAATGGAAAAAAAGTGTTAGTTTTGATTTAAATTATGTTTTATTGGAACAATCATTTATGTCAATTATATTAACTGCTGATGCATCACTACAATATATTTATATTTACATCTGAACGAATAAGTCAGAGCTATAAAAGAAGAAATAAAGTAGACTCCGTTAGTTTTCAGCATTGAATCAAGAAGAGCACATAGAAATAGAATGTCACATTTACATTTTGAACAAACAATAGGACGCCTCACCGGTTGCAAACGAACGACATAATAACATTTATCGACAACCAACAACGAAATGGTTAATACTTTGGTGGATTCCGCAGACACTTCATCCTGCCCAGCATGTTGATGGCATTGCGAGGCAGTTGGTTGCAACCCCGAAGGCTTATGTTCCTAAGCCGTTTACAGTTGGCTCGCAGCGAATAGACGGTGTCTGTTGTCAATAGGGGAAGGCGAACTAGCTTCAGAGCTCTGAGCCGTATCAAATACTTGGACAGTGCTTCAACACTCTCATCGGTGAGATTTGTGCAGTCGCTCAGATCGACCACTTCCAGCGAGGGGCAATTCCTGGCCATGGCGTCGATGCCTTCATCTGTAATCTGTGGGCGATGAAGTGAAATGTATGTATTTTTTTTATTGGAATCAAGCATCGGAATGACTCACATGGACACAGTGCGAAAGATTGATCTCCCGCAATTCGATTAGTTTGAAGCTTCGCTTTAGGCTAAGGTCGGTTACTTTGAAGCATCCGGATATCTGAAGCTCCTGCAGGCCGTGGAGCATGTCGATCGAAAAGGTTTGCTGTTCGTCCCAAATTTCGATGGCTGGCCGCTGTAGATCAACTCCTGTGAGACCGGCATCTGTAATCTATGGGGAAGTGTATTTCTTTCGCATTACTGAGAGGAGGCGAATGGTACTTTATGTGCATTGTCGTTCTTGAGTTTAAATTATAAAAATATCAAAAACGCATATTTTTTTATTGCGTGGCCGTTACGGAAATTTTGATCTTTTTTAAAAGCTTAAACACCTGACACAAATAAAGATTCTCATTCGTTTGTCTTTTGTATCTCTTTATTAGTTTTTGTTTGTCTTGTCCCCCGTCTCGATGAGCCTCATCGTCGCCCACTGGTCACCATAGCCGGTCGAACTCCAGACGAATCTAGAACCACACTACCGTTCACACTGGCGACAACGCTCTGATGAGGCAACGATACCCTACTCCCAAGCTCCTCCCCTTTTCCTATCCTTCGACAATGTACCCCTCTAACCTCGAGTAAGCCGCGAGTATCCGGCCCAACTCCTACTAGACATAGAATTAAGTGAATTTTGTTACAAACAAAGAACAATGAATTATCGGCTCCGTAAAGCTAACGCGATTGAGCCTTACAAATAAACGAACTAGATAAAAAAAAAATAAAGATATTTTTTTTATATATATGATAGGTACCTACTAGCTAAGTAAAAGTAAATTTTTATTCGGCCAGCGATACAGTAGATGATTCGTTAAACTTAGCTATTGAAAAAAGGGTCACGACTAGAATAGGGTAGATGGGGGCAAGACGGTCATGCCGCATGCTTGGCATACACAGTTTTGCTCACGAGCTGCTCATTTGCTAATAACTTTGCACAGAGTTGACGAAACATAGTACTGTTTGAAGCAGTCGATAGAATAGAGTTTAAGCTTCTTATAGATACGTAAAAAATGATATTTTAATTTTAGTAATAAACTGTATTTGATTTTACGTTGCAAAAATGAAGTGAGAAATTCTCGCTGCACATCTCGGAGTTTAAGTGTAAAAAATCATTGGTGTTGATTCATGATAAGATTTACCTACCCTTTGCATGTCCACAGTAAACTATGATCCTAATCTATCAGTTACTTCAAAGAACACTAAATTCCAACAATTGAGTGAAAAGTTATTAACAAATGAGCAGTTGGTGTGTACAAATGTGCATGCCAAGCATGGTCATACGTAAAGAGCCTAAATTTATAAAGAGGCGATATGTCAAAATTGGAACAATCGATTGTCTGTCAAAGTCATAGGAAAAGTCATTCCAATCGAGCAGAAGACCTGTCAAATGGATAAGATGTCGTCTCTTTATAAATTCAGGCTCTTTAGTCATACGGGGTTAGATTATAGTCGCTATATTTATAGTCTGGCGGATAGAATCTCGGGAACCAATTGAGCTGTCAAATAGCGGAACCAATCGAGCAAATCACGACCAACAACAGAAAAGAGCACATCAGGTATTGCGAACAAAATTACACAAACTAACACCATCTTTAGGTTGTGGAAAGTTTCCCCTATCCGATGATGCTGGTAATTTACCTTCGATTGGCGAGGAAAGAATTATCAACATTTTGTTTATAAAAGTTGATAGTACCATTTCAATTGTTGGTCAACAATATATTGAATTGGTTCCGCTTTTTGATAGATCGACATTTTATCCGCCAGAATATGAATATAGCGACTATAGGTGATGGATGGACCACCATTTTTTCAATCTCAATATTTTACAAACTTGTTGATAATGCTAACCGAATCAAAATTCAATTACATGTCTAAGATAATAACGAAAATGCAATATTGGCTCGCCATCTCTAAAATTGGCTTGGCATTCTCTATAGTGCATTTTGGCGATCCTGGTTCTATCAATAATCACTGTCATTGAACAAATTGCTCTGAATGATTGCACTGATTTTAGCATTTTCTCGTGGTAATGAAGTAATTTTTCTCAAGCATTATCGCTATACACACTTAATTTTTTTTTGCCGAGATTCCAACAGCCGAGTAGTTCTGCAATTTATTTTACCAAGACTCAGCAAACAAATATGATTTTGCTGAGATATTAGCTAACAAACAGATATTTTGCAGAGATATCAGCAAAAGTAAATGCCGAGGTAATCGGCTGTTGGAGATTTTACTGAGCTAGATTAAGTGTGTGTGGACGGAATGGGCGTACTCTAACTGGAGCAATACAAGCAGTTTTTTTGAACATAACCTATAAATATTGCTGTCAAAATATTGGCGGAAATTATAGTGCGGAATTAAACGCGTAAATCGAATCGGAACCAGTGGCCACAAAGCAGCATGATTGCAGCCATTGAAGTTCTGGATAGTGGCACTTTAGTGCAGTATGCAGCCTTAGTACATCTTATTCGCCCCAGCCTTCCCTAATAAACGTGTACCATATACTGACGATATCTTAGATGGTGCGACCATACCACATAAAATTGGGATGATATCCCGAATTGGTGGTTAGGCGCATCTTATGGTTATTGTTTATGCGGGTATTGTTTATGCGGGTTAGTACATCGTATCCACTACACCACCGGCGCCAGCAGTGTGTAGTCCCAACTGGAGTCCGTGTCGTTTTTGAAAACATTGAAAAACAAAACAAAAACGAGAGCTGTTCAAATGCCGGGTTGCCAAACAAAGCATTCCCAACAAACAACTTGAGCTGATTAAAGGCTGAATAAGCACTTTTTCAGCTGAAGAAGCATGATTTTACCTGAATAAGCTCTTATTCTGCTTCCAATGTTTGTTGGGATTATTCACAAGCAAAAAAAAGGCAGTTCAATGACTTCTTGGCACTGCCGGTAACAGCTTCGGTACACTGAGGCACACTGAGAAAAATGTTGGTGCAAAATAAGTGTGTAGAGTGCAGGCATGGAAAATCATTTACATTCATTTCATGCAATCATTTACATTCATTTGCCTCTAACTTTTTTCATCAACAGTAATCCGCAAAATAATGTATGGAGCTTTAGTAGGTTTTGTTATTAGCTACAACTTTTGCCCATAACTCAAATGTGTATCTCTTATGCATCACGAATTAGAGTGGGCAGAACTTGTTACTGTTTTTCAGTGAATGTAAAATACATTCACTGAAAAACAGTAGTGGCTTCTGTTCGCTCTGGTCCGATACGGATTTGAGTTGTTGACAAAAGTTGTAGTTAATAACAAAACCTACAAAAGCTCCATACATCATTTTGCGGAATTCTGTTGATGAAAAAAGTTAGGGGCAAATGAATGTAAATGAATGCACGAAATGAATGCAAATGATTTTCCATGCCTGGTAGAGTGACCACCCCTTGGTGAAATTAGCGTTTCAATTTGGGTTGCCGAAAATAGTGGGTCATGCCGTCCTTTCCCCTTCATGAAATCTAAAAAAATATATATTTTGCGGCTGAGCTAGGGGGGGGGGGGGGAGTTGCCCCCTTGCCCGCTGACTACGTCTATGTATCCCCCCCATTGAAATGTTATTTACGCCGCGCGAATTCATCGGAGCCCCAGCAACTCGAGTTGATTTCTAATGTTTGTTTATTCGGTAGAGCAACAAAACGTGCTTGTGGATCCGTGGTATGGAGCATGATGTTGTGACTGGACCGAGGTTTCCAGCCTCGGTCACGGTTCCACGAATCTGCTGCTCCCTCTGTTGGTCTTCTACTGCTGCTTTTCCGTCTGCTGGTAGTCCTTTGACAATGAGGTACAGAGAGAGGTGAAGCAGATCGTGGAATATGGTTGTATTAGTAAACCAAAAAATCAACGTAAACGCAAGTAGTGACGTCACTACTTGCTTGTATAGTACAGGGGTTTTACTCACACAACTTAACCGATTGCTTCACCTCGGTAATCCAGCTCATTGGTCCTTTGATGGTCGTCCGCTCTTTCCAAAGTCCGTCACAAGAAAAAAACGCAGCAGACTGGGGACTCAGCCATGTATCTTGTGATCATCAGTCCTGCGTCTTGATCCAAGAGTCTTGATCACTCGTCTATTGCAAGGTGACTACATATAGGTGTTCTAATGTGTCAAATTCATGATTCAGCCATGTTGGATTTTAGTATTGGACAGCGACCGAGTTTGTTTACAATTTGCTCTAAAACCGCACTTTTCCCCCCCGCGACCTCCTCGCCTATATAGTGCCAAAGCTGTATCACCATTTATATACCCACCATGGTCTATTGTATTGCGTGCATGTTTATTATGTTTGTCCTACGGTTTACTACCAGAAAAATAATGAAATACACCTACAATTTGCTAAAATATACCTTATGGTTCCATTTCGCATGATTTCAACGTTATTTTTAGCGATTATCTGTCTATTATTGATTACTATGGGTGCTCGTATTGCCCAGTACACGGCGAATGAGAACGACTCAAATTTGAGTTTAGTTCACTCATAATCGCCAGAAGTGCAGGAACTCAGCGATGAGTAAAATTTGTCTCATGGTTTCCTGTGGAAAACCTAAAAAATCTGCCGGAAAATGAGGAAATTGACGAAAATTTTATTCAGTCTCGGAGTAGTACCAATAGACTGAGTGAATCCAATCTTTACTTTTCTCAAATTTGGGAATTTTTCCCTGGAAAATCCTGGAAAAACCTGGGAAACCATGAGGCAAATTAACTCATCGCTGAGTTCCTGCACTTTTGGCGATTATGAGTGAACTAAACTCAAATTTGAGTCGTTCTCATTCGCCGTGTAAGGTTGTTGATCGGAGCAAACACATTTAAGAAAGTTTTTCATGTTTTATGATGTGTTTTTCTTAGGGGGACCATATTGCCCCATTATTGCGCCAATGTTGGCGACTGGCGTAGCTAGAAAATTTATCTGGAGGGGGCCTAGGGGCGAGGGGGGCGACACATCTAAATCTCAAGTTTAGATGGTCAACAAATATCACACTAGCGAATCAATCTTCGAACAATCTTCTTTCATTTGTCGCATCTACTTGCATCACTCATCAATTTTTTGCAGGAAATCTTCAGAATCGTCATCAATCTTCTTTCTATCTACTCAGCGTGCGCGCAGCTAGCCACAGCAAAACACAATCTTTTTTGCATCGTAGATAGAGTCGTCCCCCTCG